CACACACACACACACACACACACACACACACACACACACACACACACACACACACACACACACAGTTTTAGTGGTGTGTGGTAAGTAACTAATACTCAAATATCTTGTTTTTCTCCCCACCTTCTAGACCCGTGTCAGGATCCAAACCAAGCACAGCCTCATTTCCACCAAGAAAATGACCTTCTCCACACCACCCCCCAACCCCACCCACCCTGAGAGGAGGCAGCAGCTGGCAGTTTATTTGCACTAAAGAGACGTTTTGCTGGTGAACCTCAGACAAGAATAAACGGAAGAACAAACAGGACCTGCACCAGTTCAGACTTCTAATAAAACCTTACTCTGCTGCTCCCTCAGTCTCCTCATCCTTACACCCCCCCCCCACCCAATCCCCCTTCTTTCTCAGCGCACTCATGTTAGAAATGACGATGTGGTGTTGCACAGAGGCCTTGCAAACTGAGACAAGTGTCGTCGCTGGGGTACGTTAACTTTTGCCAAATCGTTTTTTTAGGATTACTGTCAATTTCTTTTTTTATGTTTATGCTGTCAATGTATTAAAAATGCAATTTTTGTAATTATGTTTTGTTTACAATTTGATTCATGCCATGTTTTATGATTTGTGTTTTGTGTAGCAATACAAAATACAGCTTGGTACATACTTGGTACTTACCAGGTGATTAGCCGGTTTGTACCAGGTAAGTATATGAAACAAACTGGGTACTTACTGGGAGCATAAAGAGTTTTTACCTGGTCCATTTCTTATACATACCTGGTGTTTACCTATACCAGATACACACCTGGTAATTACTGGGTACATACTGTGTACTTACTGGATATATTCTAGTTACGTACCAGGTACATTCCAGGTACTGGGTACTTACTTACTTGATACATACCAGGTTTTTACCAGTTGCATATCTGATACTTAGCTGGTAAATACCCGGTACTTACCAGGTACTGAAAGTATAAGGTAACAAATTACTTCATAATCCAGATTGATCTCCATGGGTACCTGGTACTGATCTGTATTGTGTACTACTACCATGTTTTGTGCCAAAGAGCTCTTTTGTACCTGGGGTATGATCCAAATTGCTTGAAAATAATATTTTGCCAAGTTGACCACAAGTCATCCTCCATATTTTTTTTAGTATTTTATTGTTTTTCTGATATGAGGAATGTCTCCAGTACCAGGTGTTGGTACAGATGTGTGTCAGAAGAAAAGAGCCAATCACTCAGCTTCTTCTCAACACTGTTTACATGGTGGAGGACTTGATGGACAGCTGGCAGGACACGCTCCAGTTTCTCTGTGTTTTTATGTCTTTTGCTGTGTTCTAATTTTTGATTGGTTAACATAAAATATTTTTACAAAACTATCAAATGTGTTTGTTTTCATTACAGCTTGATGTGAGAAAAGCATAAAGAGGATTCTGGATTCTGAATCCTCTTTTCTCCTAATTTAACTACTAAATATAAGAAACTGGCTAATAATTCATTCAGTTCACTTCTGTTTATTTATATATTGCTAAGTCACAACAAACTGTACACAAAAAGAAAAAATAATCTAAAGAAGCCAGCAGATTGTGTTGAATCTTCACCTTTGTCAGTCTTCCATCCTGAGCAGCACATTGGCAACAGAGGAGAGGAAAAACTCCCTTTTAACAGGAAGAAACCTCCAGCAGAACCAGAACCAGGACAGGTGGCCATCTMRCTCGACRGGCTGYGTTGAGAGAACAGGAAAGAGAGGGTCTTTCAACCCCTCACCAGTCACCTCTGAAATTCCTCAAAAGCCTTATGACATGTTTTATTTTATGTAATGGTGTCATGCTAAAGGCAAGAACTGGAGGAAGTCGTACGTCCTGGTCCCCCCC